AGTTTATCAGGGGTGCTCACCAGGATCTGGGGGAACGTCTGTTCACCAGAGCACCCCAAGGGATGACAGGATGGAACGGTCACAAACTCCACCACAACTGATTCAGGCTGGACATAAGGAAGAACTTCTTTACTGTCCGAGCCTCCAAGGTCTGGAATAGACTGCTGCCGCAGGTAGTTCAAGCACCTACTTTGAACGCCTTCAAGACGCATTTGGATGTTTATCTTGCTGGGATCCTATGATCCCTGCTGACTTCCTGCCCCTGGGGCAGGGGGCTGGACTTGATCCTTTGGGGTCCTTTCCAACCTGAATGTCTATGAAATCTATGAAATGGCAAAAGGGAAGGAGGGGGTGGTGGAGAACTCATTGCACATGCGTTCAGGCAGCCAAGACTAGAGGTTTCAGTGCCTGTCCATCAGGTGCAACTGCACAGCTGCACTCCCCTAGATCTGCCCCTCAGCTGGGGTAACGCCTGTGTTCAAACCCTTTAGAATGTTACAACCCCTGGAATTCTCTTTTGAGATTGCTCCCTCTCCTCTGCCTTCCCCACACCCCACCCATTGCTTGCTCTCCTTCCTTGGGACAGACTGGGAGCCTTGCAGACCGAAGTGTTGGGAGGCCAATCGGCAGTGCAATGGACTGGGAATCCAGAGACCCAGATTTCTTTCATCCTGATGTTTCTTCCTCACTGCATGACTCTGAGCCATTGACTTGACCTCCCTGATGTGCTTCTGTGTCAACAGCTGTAATATGGGGATAAAGATATTTTCTAGGTGTATAGGACTAAGGGCTCACCTACACTATAAAGCAAGGGTGAGCAAAATACAGCAGAGTGATTTTGCCTGGCCAGCAGTAGGTCTCTTAGCCCCGCCAGACCAGGCACGGGGGCACCCCAGGCCATGGTGCATGTTGCTGGTCCCACTCTTCCTGCACACTCCCAGCCAGTGTGCATGGAGACCAGCTTCCAGCCCCAGATGCAGCTCCCCTCCCGGCTGTACGCCCTGCCCGTGTGGCCCTCACCAGGGCTCCTGCTGCCACTGCTGCCCCCACACCATGCCGCTCTGCACCGCTATGTTCCACACTGAGCTGGGGGAGGGGGGCCTGGGGGCTGCCACCACCACGCAAGCGTTCTGTCGGGAGCTGCAGGCTGGCACAAGACAAGGGCACCCTGGTGCTGCCTGCTTCCCCCAGCCGCTCCCTTGTTGCATCTGGGGTTGGCACTGGAGCCATGTGAGCAGGGTGTGCAGGCAGGCAGGGAGCTGCATCCAGGGCTGGAGCTGGGATTTTGGGGCGGTGAGCATGGAGCCGGGACGGGGCAGAGCTGCAATGTGCTCTCTGCAAGTCTGCCCGCAGAACCCACACTCGTCACAGGAGCATGTAGGCAGCAGATTATGGCTCTGACCCAGCCCCACACTGTTACCACCCTGTGATCCTGACCTCACGTACCTTTCCCACTGCTGAACACAACTGCCCAGGGCCCTATGCCACATAAGGAGTTTTGGTGAGTTGTTGCACGCGGAGTGGGATGGGGATGCTGACCCAACCCATGAAAGCTCACCAAAACTGCCTATGTGGCCCTCAGGCCTAAGTAATTGCCTACCCCTGTTATAAAAGCTTTGCCAGCATGGTTGAATCAGTGAAGTCCCTTAGTAGAAATGTGGCTTGCACAGGCCAAAGGATTTATGTATTTACGTAGAAGGGATGGGGCACAGCTCTGTCGCCCCCCTGCCCAGCATACACTTTGTAGTGTAGACCACTCTTGAGTGCATGCTGAGTGTAACCCATAATGTCTGCAAAGTCATGCTTTCTGGAACTCAGGGAGTACTAGATGTTAAAAACTCTAAAAACGTACAGGTTGGGTTTTTCCCTCAATTATGATGAACACTTGAGAACAGTGAATCTGCTCCCTTACACATACAAAGGGCAGAAGCAGCCACAGAGGTGGAGACAAAGAGAGCAGCCAGAAGGGAAATGGCTGCAGATTTCTACTTCTGTAGTGAGACAGCCCCACTCCTGAAAGCAGTGCTGAGGAAGGGGTTGGAGGGAGTGATGTTCTCTATCCAAGCTCTGCCCACTATCTTAAAGCTTCTTGCACCACCTCCAAGCTCAGTCCACAACTACCATTCACATCTACACACTGAGACTAGGTGATACTTCTGCCAAAGTGATCTCTAAGTCAAACAAGGAGATGATCAGCATTAGACTTTGGAGTGAACAACCCCCTGTTGTAGTTACTGGTTATACAGTGTTTTGTGGTGCCTCTGGGCCTTTCCAGTTACGTTCTGTTTTCCTTCTTCCCAGGCTGGTGTCCCCAGAGCCTCCCCCAAAAGGCTTCCTGGTGATGGGCTCCAAATTTCGCTACAGCGGGCGGACACAGGCACAGACCCGCCAGGCCAGCGCCCTCATTGATCGGCCTGCTCCCTTCTTTGAGCGCTCCTCCAGCAAACGGTACACCATGTCTCGCAGCCTCGATGGAGGTACGCCCCAAATTGGGGAGGGGGAGGGAGATTGGTTTCCTGGCGGGAGCAGGGAGGATGTGCTTAGACAAAGGGGCTGCATGTGGCAGGTTGGCTTTGGCACAGTGAACTCATTGCCATCTTCCTGCTTTGACTTACCCAGGGGAAATAGCCCATGCATGTTACCAGAAAAGAGCTGTTGCACCAGGGCTGCCAAGGGGACTCTTCACTCTGTGCTAAGGATGCTTGAGTGAGTCTGCCCTGGGAATGGTTTTAGCAAGGCCGCGTGATGGAGTTGTCAGGGGATGTCTGCACAGCAAAGCCAAGGTGTGACCATGGCATGGGGAGGTGCATCCCTGCTAGCTTCAGTCTACCCCACACAGGCAACAACAGTGAAAATATGACAAGACAAGCTTCACCACACTTGAACAGCCAGAGACAAGCCCTCTGTGGACTGTGAGAATGTGTTTGGGTGGCCAGGCTGTACTGAAGCCCAAGCTGCTGTGTCTTAGCCACTGTTGTTCCCCAGGTTAGCTAGATAAAGTTGATACAGTTGTGTCTACCTTTGCTACACACACCTACATTCACTTGGCTGCACAGAGATACTCTGAATGCACAGCAAGTGTCTACCTAGGGACAGCTGTTCTCCCTGGCTGGATGACACGTGTTCTGTGAAAGGCAGACCTTCAGCCTCCATTGTTGATACGCATATCAGGCAGAATGCTGCCTGCAAATCATTTGGAGAGCCCTCAGATACCCTGCTATGGCCTCTTCTCACAGGACCTGGGGCTTGCAAGGATCTTCAGCCTCAAGAGGGCAGCAAAGAGAGAGGGACTGCCTCTCATGCCTGCCTCTCCTGCTAACCTTGCTTGGCTCAGCTGGCCATCAACATTGGTACTTTATGCTGCTGCATGAGCTCCAGGGGATTCTTAGGGCCTGCACAATGGAGAGAATGAGGAATTCCCCAGCAGTTGTGCATGCAGGAGGATGAATTTAGGGTCTAAACAGCCTTGTCCTTCTGGTCTCCTGAGTGCTGCTCCCGGGCTTCAGCTTACTCACGGCATTGCACACTGCTTCTGCAGCAGGATAGAGAATGGCTCCTGTTGGTCTTGGATGACATGCTAAGGATAGGGTGGCTCCAGCAGAAGCTGCTAAAAAGGGGAATCAGATCCACATTTGTCCATGGAACTGTTCTCAGTGGAGGTCACTGTTAAGGAACTTCAGGAACAGGCAGGACATCCTGTGAGACCTGCGCAGAGAGAAATGTCCCAGACCCTGCTCTAATTGGGGAGTTGGGGCAGGAGCTCTCTGCACTAGGAGAGTTCCCTGTCCAGGCCGAGGCTGGCTGGCACCTGCCGTAGAACAAGACAGGTTGTAGTCAGCTTCAGGCTGCACGGGAAAGCCCCACAAGGCACAGGGCATGTCCCCATGTGCAAAGGGTGGGAGAGCTCTGCAGCAGCAGCTCTCCCACCCTATGCACATCAGGACCCCTCCAATGTGTACAGGGCCAAGAGACAGCTGTTTCCTGGCCCTGTGCTCCCTATGAGCTCCTCAGCTAGCACCCAGGAGGAGTCTGGAGTTCCCCCTTGGTGCTGCAGAGGGGGGTGGGGGGCAGATCAGAGTAGGAGCAGCCCTCTACAGGCTACTTCCATTGGGAGCAAATCTGCTCCCAAAAGGGCACCTGTGTAGGCATGCTCCTCAGGTAGGCTTACTGCACAGTAACCTACTTCAAATTAATAGCATATGTACACATGCTCACTGTGTGTGAGTGTACCTGGGGAAGTGCATTCAGTTCTCCCAGCAGCAAGACAGCAGCACATTAGAAAGAAATGAGGGTAAGTACACAGTGATGAGGAAGCTGGGAAGACTGTGCTCAGGGAAAGCCATGGGCTGGGGTCCCTGCTACTCAGCAGCTGGCATCAGTGACCTCCCTGCAGGTTGGGTGTGACACTCCACAGCTGGATCTGTTAATGCCCACTTTGCACCTGTTTTGTACTGATGCAGATGACGATGACACAAGGTGAAGGTTTGTGTAACAGGTAATACAAACCTTTGTATTACCAAAGTGGACCCAGTCTGACTCAGTGAAGTAAGGACTAAGGCCTTGGCTAGACTTGGCAGGAAAGTGCTTTCAGCTGCTGAACAAGCTCCCCTTGATGGCAAACCTTGTTTAATGGGATGAAGCTAACTCCCTTTCTAGTCCAGGCAAAGTCAAAGGGGTGGAGGAACAACAGGTTGCAGGAACAAAGAGGAAGGTAGAGGAAGGCCAGACCTCAGGGCACTAAATGCTGTCAGGCCTATGAAGTGGCTGCCCAAACGAAAGGGAGGAGTCTGTTGTTTGGAACTTCTCAGATGAGACTGTTTCTAGGCTTACAAGAATGTCTGCAAGGAACCAGCTTGTGCTGGGTGGAAGGTGGGAGTGTTTCTTCTCTAATGCCTGATCTGTCTCCTGTACATTGGACAGAATTCTCACGCCCAGCCTCTGTCAGCGAAAACCACGACGCAGGGGTGGAGTCTGAGAAGCGGGACGAGGACAGTGAGCACAGTGGGAGGAGAAGATCTGAGGCCGAGGATGAGGAGGTGACAACCCCAACGAAAATCAAGGAGCTGAAGGTACAGGACTTGCTGGACAGAACTTCGGAGAGTCAATAGTGGAGCCATTTATAGGCTGGCTTGGAGGAATGTTCTTGCTGTGGGTTAGCCAAGGCAATTCCCTGACTGAACCTGGGGAGAGGAGGCATCCCAGGATGCCAGAGACATAACTCCAAGTGCTCTGAAGCTTCAGAGGGAGGACTGTGATCTGGAAGGGCTGCCTCTGGAGTGGGCCCCTGGAATCTGTCCCCACACTGCAGCAGTGCAACTTCTGGCAGGGAGCTCTGGTGATAGCACTGTTAGTGACATCCCTGCTCCTGCCCAGCTCCCACTTGGCCCCGAGGTATCAATGAAACCATATTCACTGGGAGGGGGGGAACGGGAACATGGTGGGTTGCTCAATTCTGCATTCTGCTAATGCACCTGGGGCCTGCCTGTGAGATGACTCAGTACCTCTGGCCAGGGAGGGGATGCCTCCTGGAATTCCCAGGGAAGTGGCCAAAGCTCAAGGGTGACTGTGGAAAAGGAGAACCAGGCCTAGTGTCTCCAGTATAGCTCTGCTGGTCTCATGCTGCACTGCCAGTCTGGGCTTGGGAGCAGCTAAAAGGGTACACTGCACTGCAGTTCTCTGTAGGCAAAATCAAAGCTTTTCCGATCATGCTGCTGAGCAAAAGACTTTCTGGTGCAGAAGGTGGCAGCAAAGCTATGATATCCCCAGCTAGCCTGTGCTGGAAGTGTTAACAGCCCTTATGGTGGAGTCAGTGACTGCTGTCCTCTCTCCTGTACCATGCTTCCTCCCCACACATGGAGGCAACCTTCAGACATAGACATGACCCAGAAAGACCCAGTCACAGCCGAGGCACATGTGCAAATATGTTCACACAAACATATATAGACACCTATGCCCATTCACATGAGCACACAGCCACACACATGTGCATGTGCGTGTCCCTCCACTGACACTGTTCTGTTGGCACCAGCTGGCTCTTAGCCCAAACATCCTCTGCTCTTTATTTCCAGTTCTCTGGGACCAGGTCCTTTTTCCCTTCTTTCTCTTCTCCCAACCCAGTGGGCCAAGGAGGTGGTCTTTTGAAGTTCCACATCAGATTATGTCTAAGAGTCTGGCAGCACCAAGTGTGTGCTGCTACAAGGGTGCTCACACTGCTGGAGCTGCCATCTCTAGGCCATGCTGGTATCTGTAGGGCCTGCTCCCACTACTGATATCATGCCTGGCCTGACCCAGGCTTCTGTATTAAACTGAAATGTAATGTGTGTGCTGAGTTCTCTGGACTGACTCTGCTGGTTACGTTGAATCCTCTCTTTGCTGCCAGCCGGAGCAAGAAACCACCCCCAGGCACAAGCAAGAGGTATTCTTTCTCTGCAGCATCTTACCCCCCATTGGTGCATCATATTCTTCATCTTATTTAAAACTACAAGCACCACCATATTGTGTGTTACCCTATTTACTGGAATACAAGATGCACCAGGTATCAGTGGGGAGCCTGCCCCACTGGTGACTCATTAGACAAACCCACTAAGTCATCTAACAGGGGCTTTCCCCAAAGTACAAGCAGCATCTTTTATCCCACTAAGTAAGGCAGTTGTCATCACCCTGTGTGTGTGAGGAAGAGCCCTCCCCAGGTGTGGCAGCCAGGTCACTATGCTGAGGCACTGACCCAAGGGGATGTCCTGGCTGCTGCTCTCCTCTTTGTCTTCCCTTGTTTCTTCTCAATTCCTACCTTCATCCCTCCAACTGTGAGTCTCTCAGACAAGGCACAGACCACATAGAAATTGAAGTGTGCATCCCCCAAGCAAGCCTGCAAATCACGCTGCGGGTTGCATTCCTGCACCAGCTGATGCAGACTAACTGGCAATTGCTCCCGCTCCTTGACTTGCTTAAACTAAAACCCTGCGTACCAGTGGAGCTGTCTCCAGTGTTCCTCTCTTTCAAGATAGCTGTGGTCAAATGGCCTGTGCAGAGGCCGGGGAGCCTGGAGCTGCTGCTTTCTGAGCTTGCTCTGATACTCTCTTGCTGCCTGGCTTTTGGCAGTTCACTTTAGTGCCCATTTCACCAATCTGTAAGATGGGGATGGCCATATTTTCCCACCTGCTGACAGAGGATGGAGGGGGAGGGGGTTGTAAAGCTCTGTGAAGATGGAGCTTGCTGAGTAGGACGCACTTTGTCACTTTCCACTCCAAAGCACAGGCTGTTGTTGCTTTCTCTTCACCAGGGGTCTGTAAAGTCATTTTCCACTGGAACAGAGTTCCCTAGGGACATGGAGGGTTCTCTGTCACTGGCAGGATTAAATCAAGCCCTCTTGTCTTTTTAAAAGATGATCCAAATTAACCAGAGGTGCTGAAACTGCTGGGTGGGGTTCTCTGTCTTGTATCAGGCACAGGATCTGACCATCTGATCACACTGGCCCCTTTGGCCTCGGAACCTCTGGCTGATGCAAACCCCACTGAAGTCTCAATTAAGCTGCCCACGGATCTCAGAGGGTTTCAGAGCAGGCCCTAGAATCACAGCTCAAGCTTGCAGTGGACACAAGCCCAGGCCCAGTCAGGTGCTTCTGCTGCCACTGAGAAAATGCTTGGTAGATGGCCTGTTTTTTTGCTAGCATCCCTGCCAGTACTGTCCCACACAAGAAGGGCAAACTCACTTGGTCAGTGATTGCTGTCCAGTTGGTTTCTTTCCCCACACTCATCCAGGTGTCTTGTTCTGTTCCCTCCACTGTCTGTCTTATTGCTCATTCCACCCTGCATGCTCCATATACCATTCTTTACCACTGTCATGTGCTCCCTAGCAACCATTTGAGCTAGTGATGGGCAAACCTCATAGCAGATGGCTCAGAAGTGTCAGCAAAGTTTTTGATTCTTATCCCAAACTTCTCTAAGCCTCCTGGCCCTGCACAGACTTTTCCTGCATGGAACCCAGAAATGGACACAGGGTTGTAAGAGGTAAAAGTAATGGAAAGAAAGATGCTTATCTAAGCCTACTTGAACCTCAAAACAGGTTTGAGTTAGGGGCAAAGATTGTGGGTTGGTTCTTGTTCATTTTGAACTGGTTTGCTCATCCCTAGTATCTCTCAATGCCATGAACACCTTAAAGGGGACTTGGGAGTGGGGGGAAGAGGGGTTCTGAATCAGACCCTAAACCTAGACTGTGAGCCATTGCCTTTATAGTGGACCAAACAAACACCCTGCCTCTGAACAGATTGGGCTGGGTCAAGAACAGGTGTGGACTCAAATTTTGCATCTTTGGTCCCTCTAAGGCGTCCTGCCTGGTCACAGAAATCAGGTTCCAGGGAAAACTGATATGCCAGTTTAATTTATCTAGCTATTCCCAGTTGGCCACTTTGTACTTTAAACTAGAACAAGTCAGTTGATCTCCTGGCCTGCTAACTCATGGGGCTACTTGGCTCCTTTTGGCCCTGCATTAGAAACCAACAGGGGCTGGTAGAATATAATAAAGACAAGGGACTGTTGGAATTTTCCATAGGGAGCAAAAGTAAATCCCCCTTGGAGTCCACTCTTTCAATAGAATTGAGGACCACTTCAGATCTGCCTCTCCCTGGTTAGTTATAGTTTGGTTTAAGAACTACAACTAAAGGCTACAAAAGGGACCTTGTTTTACACTAACAAGTGACAAGATGTAGGTATAAATTCTTGTTGCTTGCTGCTTTACTCTGTAGCTGTCCTTATTGAATTACAGAACCAGGGGTTTCCCATGCAGTGAGGCCTGAGAACCCAAATTCAGGCTCAACATAAAGCAGGCCCTCCCCAGCTCCTGAGCTATGCCCCACACCTCACTCCAGCCCTGTTCTCTGATCCATGCCTAGCTGGTTACTGTCTTCTCTCCCTCCTAAAGTTTTTAGACAAACCAGAAGATGTTTTACTAAAGCACCAGGCCAGCATCAATGAGCTGAAAAGGACACTGAAGGAGCCCAACAGCAAGCTGGTTCACAGGGACCGGGACAGGAGGCTGACTTCATCACCAGCCTCTTCCTCACCTAAGCACGATGACGAGTCACCAAAGGGGACCCCAGAGAAGGCCAGCGAGGTTTGTTCTATTGTCTCTTTTATCAGGGGGGCTCCCTACAGATTTGTGCCTACACAGCTGGGGAATGCAAGCACCTCTACTCTCCAGTCTCAGTGAGCAGAAAAGGCCAGAGAGGAGCACCTGTGACAGCCCCTCTGGTGTGCTCTCTGGTTTCAATCTCCTTTGCAGCCAGGCGTTGTTAACCACAGGTAGCTCCCCATGCTGTGGTGGGGGTTTAAGTCTACCCTCTTCTTGTACATATACTGTCCTCCCCTGTGCTCTTTGCCTAGGGAACTGGGCAAATGACTTCCCTGCTCTTGCCAAGAGGTGGATCCCATAGCCTAGTTCCTTGTGAAGCTACTGCGTGATCCAGGAACACCCAGCAGGTTCTTCCCACTTTCCTGTGTCATGATGGCTCCTCTGCTAGCTCTGGGGACACCTGGGGGAGAAGATACCTTTACGCACTGAGTTTGCACCCTCTAGAGCAGAAGCTGAGGTGGTGGGTAGACTGAATCTCAAGGGTGCCATGCTCATTGGCTGATTGTCCGTTCTATCTGCAGGGAAGCTCAGGGGATGGGTCTGTAATGAACAAATGCACATGGCATTAAGTAAACAGGGTAGCAAGTGCTGGCTGGCAAAACTACGCCCCCCCCCAAGTAGTGATGGGTGGGCAAAATTAATGAGCTTTGCTCTCTGTGGAGTGGCCCTACAGGATGTTGAATCAGATGAAAACTGGACTTGACACCAAGGTGTGGAGAAGCAGCTTGGAGCAGAGTGGGCTGGGAAAGGATTCTGGAGGTTTCAGCCAAGATGAGGGTAGACAGCTGCAGTTGTCTTGGCTGGGTCTGTAAATGATAAGGGCTCCACCTGCTGTTACCTTTGAGCATTGATTTCCTTGGTGCCTGGTGGCTAGCAGAAGACAAAAGAAGTATGGGAGCAGCAAAAGACTTTCTCTTCCTCTTCTGGCTGTAGCTGTTGAGCCCGCTTTATCTTGTACTGTGTACCAGGCTGTTATCTGTGCAGCATCAGGCACCCTGTTCAAGCTGGATGAACAATTTGGTATGGCCATGGATTGGGCTGGTTTTGGTCTAGACATGACAAAGTTCTCTGAGTGAGTAGATTGGACAAGCCTCATAGTGTGGTAGCCAGAACCATGAGACCGGTCCAGTGCTGCCTCTCAGCTGATGGAGACTTTGGAGCAGTAGCAGGGGAAGGAACATGGACTTCATCCCTGGCAGTGGTGTTTATAGAGGCTGAGATGCCTCTGACCTGTGGTAGTGATCTCAAGCTGGCAAAGGAAGGTTTTGGCAGTGAATGGATTGGCTCATAGTGAGATAGGAGAGTGTTGACACCAGGGGGAAGATACCTGCAGAAGGTACTGGGAAAGGTGGCTGAGGGAAGTTAAGGAGAAAACATTTGCCATTGGTAGAGATTTAATTGCACATAGATGGACCCCTCTGATGCTGCTGGATGGGCATAGGACTGAGATCAGTGTGTCTGGGCTTGTATGTGGGAAAGCAGCAGTGTTTGTGTTATCGGGGCCCTGTGCAGAGGTTCACTTTGGGGCCCCCTACTACTAAACAGTCACACTGAAATATAACAGGGGTCTCTGACTTGGAGGTCAAGAGCGGGGAGGGTATTGCATTGTTTACACTGTCTTAACAGGGCCCCTGGTGCAGGGCACAGAGCTGAGCAGAGAGGATAGGCCGGCACATGGGTTCTGCAGGCAGTGGTACACGGAAAATGAATGCAGAGAACAAAAGGAGGGTTTTTTGTCAAACCTGTGTTTTAAACAAGTATATAAAGTACCAAGCTCTGGCTTGAGACTGCAGCTGAAATAGTCATGACCTTCATTCATTCACTCACTTGTTCATTTGTTCATTCTCGTTCTTTCTTCTCTCTCTCTCTCTCCCCCCCACCCTATTCTCTCTCTCTCTCTCTCTCTCTCTCTCTCTGTCTTTCTCTCTATGTGTCTTTCTCTCTCCCTTTTTGCCTTTGGTACTTGGGTTTCTCCTGCTGAAACAGAGGATGGAAGAAGATATCCTAGAAGAGTTTTCACCTGAGCATGGAGCTGCCTTAACCATGGAGTCTTTCACACAGAAAAGCCTTGTCTCTTCTCCTGAGGTTATCACCATTCCATTTCTCTCTTTCTCTCTGCCCTTTGTCTCTGTTTGTAATCTACCTAAGGGCCTGTGGAAAAATTTCCTGCCACTGCTCCATAAATATATTTGGGCCTAAGTAAACTGCTAATGGAGCATAATATGAACTGGTTCTGTACAGAGAGTTCCCATCCTAACCCAGTGAGAAGGAGAAGGGGATTAAAGGGATAGATAGTCTCTGCATTTATCTCTAAAACTGTCTTATTGACGACTATGGATTTGGTGACTTCTTCACTTGAAGGGTAGGAATATTATCCTGTCAAGTGTATTGATCAGAGACCTAACAGTGATGCTAAGTAATTCTTCCATCATATCTCCATGAGCTATAGTTGTGGTTTAAATAAACTAGGCAAGGCTGAAACTAATTTGTCCTTGGATCAGAACTCTTCAGGCAATCCAGGTTCAACAGGAGTTGGGAAAGGTAGTTCATTCAAATGATGATTCTCTTGATGTGAGGACTGACCCAGGATGGTTTAGGTGATGTTTTGCAGATGCATTATCTTTGGAGATGTAAATCTGAGGTCCAGGCCACATATTGTCCCTAACAATCTTTTCTTAAAAAGGGAGGAGTTCATTCTGACATGCTGGCCAAAGTCCAGGGTGAGCAGTTATGGTCTATTGTGCCTACCTACAGCTCCCCTGCATCTGCGCTTGACTGTGATAACCTTCTTCAACTCCTGTCCAAATTGCTAGTTTGTGTTTTCATGTGGTTTCAGATAGCTGCTTCCCTGCTGTGTGGGGAGGACTGCAGTCCAAGAATGAGTGAATTATTGGGTCAACTGATGTAACTTCAGCTCTTACTCAGTCCTTACACAGGCAAAACTTCCACTGAAGTCAAGTGAGTTTGCCTGGGCAAAGCCAGAGTGTGGACTCCATGTTTGGTCCCCCCTTCTGAATTCTTACTGTCAAAGGGCACTAGAGCAGTGCCATCAGTTGCCTAGGGTCCTCAGAGTTTATATACCTAATTTCTAAGTGCTTAGATACACTGGTGGTGAGCATGAAATAGAATAGAATAAAATACAAGATAACTACCATTCTGCCTGCCTAATCTGGCTGAGGTACTTAAAAGGCTTCTCAATACTGTACTATCTCAAGACCTCACACACTTCAATGTGTTCATCATCACATTCTCCCTATATGATAGGACACTGCTTTTAGCTGTATGTTGCTCCCTGGTTTCCTGTCATCTGTCAACTTCAAATGGAATAGCTGTCACACAGCACTTGAAAATCAGGCCATGGATGTTTCATGTTGGACATCCTCAGACTGAGGTTTCCTTGGTAAATGGGCACTGTAGAAACACCTGGATTATACATGTATACCCCACCTCAAGTAGAATCCATTAATTCTTGAGCACCTAACCATCTTGGAGGGAAAGAAGGCAATTGAGCAATATCGGTTTTTAGCTTTTGTGTTTCTTATTTTCTACCAACATGTTCTTCTGGAGGGGCTGGGGGATAATTACAATGGAACCTTCCTCCAGGCAGAAGAAAACTAGGCCAGAACACAGTTCCTTTAATCTGGTTTTGCTCTGGTGTGGGTGAGGCACAACCATGCTGAAACATGGGGTTTTTGCCACCTAGACAGGTCCAAAGTGGTACTGACTTAGATGTTCCAGTTCAGCCCACCATATAAGGAAAGAAGATGTGAGATTAAGCTCATTTTTGCTCAGAGCCATGACTGGGTGGGGGAATGACGGTGGCCTTTAAACCCCTATTAAGATACGGCTGTATGCCAGTTCACCGTGGGGGGCTGTCCCTCACCCCAGGCATCCCCACAATTTGAGTTTATTTTCAAACCCAGTCACATCTTAGTACAATGGTAGCATGCTGTAGATCCACACCTCACCTAGCTGTAAGCACAGTCTAGGAGGCCTTTTGAAAACATAGGCCTGATTCTGTGAAATGGCTGACTGGTGGACTGTGCAGAAGGCAGTGCCCAGCTGTTAGAACATGGTGGACCAATCAACGGACAGAACACCTGATTCTCCACTACCTCACTCCAATCCGATATCCAGCATAAAACTGGGATAACAGAGTGGGGGAAATGGGCCCAGAATCTTTAGCGTTTGAGTCGGGTTGCACCGCAGTAGTCTGGGAGCAGGCTCCCCCATGTCTGCAGTTTATTCCTTTGCCTATCAGTGTTTTGGAAAGTTATTTTTAAATGCTTCAACTCTCGTTAGCATTGTACATGTCCAAGATAGCAGTGGAACTCGGACCCAAAACCTCAGTCTGAGCTCAAAGTAATTAGCCTCGGGGGGAAAAGGGATGGTGATAAAAGAACTCAAATGCATTTAACCTTGCCATCCTGTACCATAATTGTTGGTGGCATTTGGGGAATTCGAAATGCCTGACTGTCAAAACAAACTGATTTCAAGTTATATTTGGCATTTCAAGTGTGTGCAGCTACTGGTTGAGGGTTTGATGTGTGGCTGTTGTGGTTTTGTCCTTATGCCACCCATGTGCTTGAAGAAAATATGACATCCTCTGTTTTGGAGCATGTGGAAGGATGGAAAAGGAGGTCCCGAGTATATCACCACCCAGGGAACCAGAAATGCACAGATATTATTTAACACCTATGGTTTTAAAACCAGTTGAAATTAGACTCCTAATCCTAGTCCCCTTTTACAGGAAGTGATTCTTGGTGGTAACTCTGTTCAAAGGGACTGTCTCTGGGGCTCCAATATGACTTTCTCTGTAGGGTCTGAGTCTGAAGGGATGCTAGTTTAAGAGTCATGCAGTTAAGCATAGCTGGGGCTAAATGGGAATTTGCTCTGTGGCTAGGTACTCCCTCTGACTAGTTTGGGTTGTTTGCATTGCATGTGAGAAGTGCACCCTGCTCCTAGCAGACCAGGGAGCCACACTACATGCTATCTCAAGAATGAGAACCAGAGATCAGTTCATGTCATTCTTCCAGAACTCTCAACAGGTTTGTTCTTTTTACTTCGTCTTGCTGCACCTCTGCGCACAGGAAATAACAGGTGCAGATGCACTGAAGAGAACCGATGCAAAAGAGTAGGCCACTTTGCACACTAGGTTGGTGGGTCATGCCGCCATATCCTTCTTCCTCTCATGTCAGTACTCATGGGCACTAATGAGGTGTGTAGCACTCTCATCTCCAACCCCAAGCACATAGATCATTTGACATTGGTTGCTCATGGGACTCCAGAGCAGGGCTCTCCTTTGGAAACATTTTGTGTTCTTTCAACTCAGATCTGTCTTCATTGGTAATTCATGATGCCCAACACAGAACTGCTGAATCTCTAAGCCACATCTGCCCTCCAGAACTAAAAGAAGATAGATCATTAAAGCCACTTTGGATATAACAGCTCCATCTCCCTTCTCTCTGCCTGGAAACATTTTGCACCACTTTGCTAATGGGCCAGTGCAGAGAGGTCTTGGTGCCGCATATCTAAACATTCAGCTTTTCCACATCCGGTTTTAGTTGCTTCTTGCTATATGGTCTGCCCAAGCCTTACTACTCTATCTTGGACTGCCTCTTGGAGGAGTCTCTGACAAGTTCAGGAGTTTTATGCTGAATGGCCTATTGCTGAGACATCACTTGGTAGCGGAAGCCAATTCTCCCTTCTCAGATAGAGAAGTTTTGAGAAGCCAGAATTTTCCTTCTGCAACCAACTGTGTTATTGTTAACAGTGCATAGGTTGTAAATTCCAGCAGTGGTTCACTGTTATTCTTCTAGCCAGCTCCTCAGAGCTATGCAGGTGAACACCAAGAAGACAAGACTTCTGGCTACTGTACCAGAAGCAGTTCCTCCCTTTCATTCCCCCTCTGTTGGCTCCACAGCAATGAGGAGGCCAAGAAGCTTTGCCATATATTCGGTTTCTACCATTTACAATTTACCAACAGTTCTGACTACAGGTCCTTTGCTTATGTCTGTGCCACCCAGAATTCCAGGGTGGTTTCCCTTTCAGGGACTAGCCAAACCCAGGCCCAGACAAGACCAGGTGGGTTCAGTCTGACATGGTCAGTCCTAAAGGCTGAACTTAATTTCTCTGGAAAATTGACCATTCTAGCAGCATCTCTGCTTGAACCCTATTTCTCCTGTTTGTACCTGGCATGCTCCATCCACAGACTCCTTCTTGCCAGCCTTTCTGTGAATGCCCCTCTATGCTCCCTATACTCACTAACAAGTCTTCTTCCAAGGCCTCCAGAAAGTTCCCTGTTTTGTTAGACATGGTATCAAACTACCTGTATGACACATCCCATGACTCTCCCATGCCAACTAGTGGGGAAGCGTAACTGATGTTCTAGCACCATGGGCCTGTGATGGCATTCTGTTGCCTAAACCAAAACCAGGGAGTCTTGAAATTCACGTCAAACTGGTTGGCTTTTCCAATGGAATGGATCAGCTTACAGTAGTGAGGCAGTCTTCTACCCACTGGAAAAAGAAGCTGGATTTAGAGATAAGTCTTAGGGTCTTAGCCCCTCCCTTACTGGTCAAGAGATTTGTAGAAGCATATAATCAATCTGTTTTAACACTGGGTTGCCTGATAGGGCTCTCCAGAAGGCAAATGGATCTTTTTTGTAGGTATTTTCTCCAGAATATGCACGCAGAGCTTGGACTCTGAGTATGAACACTTCCTTAAACTGTTCTGCTCCTCATGATCAGACCAGTACATTTTCTTCGCTTAGCGAAGACTGGACAGAAGGTATCCTTTAAAAGATCCCTGCTTCAGCTGTCATCAGAAAAAGAATGTGCTTTATTCAGAGAAGGGGGCTTTGGTGGGTGCCACACTTCTATTCCTAGCTACCTCAGGTTTGGTTTACTTAGGACCAGACATAGCAGTGAAAGCCACAGGAAAGGATACTAATATGCTTCCCAGAGAAGGGAGTGGTGCTGTAAAGCTGAAATTACTGTGGGCATCCTCTACATATTAGAAAGTTTTCCCAAGCCTTGGGCTGAAGGGAATTTCTGGTGAATCAAGTTCCTTAAGAACTCACTGGG